ACACCCTGCGTGGATGCACGGTGCAGATAAAGCAGGGCTGAGAAACCTCTGCGTGACATCACAGCGTGTTTGGTTCTGTCAGATGGACTGAAGTATTTTCTCCACGTCTCTTAAATCTCTTAATTCTCTCTCTGAAGAACAAATCTGGGGCTGAATTATTTCTCGTCTTTTTAATGAATCACGTTGTTTACTGGAGGCTGAAAGCCGGCTTAGGCTGGAACGAAAACAAATATTTTCATTGTGAATTTCCTTCAGACAACAGTGCTCAAGTCTCCTTTGGCTAACGTGCCGATGTGGATGTGGGTTTGGGATGAAAGGTCAGAGTCTGCAGAAACACCACGAAGGTCGCTCGGAGTAACTGAGGGACCTAAAAATGCTGCAGCAGCTCCAGTCTCCACCGCTGCACCGTGGATACATAATTCATGTGTTTGCAGCTCGCACATACGTAACCAACACATCGACACGTACGCCTCTCGTGCTGAAGCTCGGCCAGACTGCAGATGCTGAGCGTTTTTGGGAAGGCAGGTAACAGACGCGGCTGAAACAACTTCAGAGATGGCTGAAATGTGACGGCACCGGCTCGTCTGGAGGAGCAGAAGGACCGCGAGTGCGCCGATCGTCTCCTTCATCCTCTCCTTCATCCTCTCCTCCATCCTCTCCTTCATCCTCTCCTCCATCATCCTCTCCTTCATCCTCTCCTCCATCCTCTCCTTCATCCTCTCCTTCATCCTCTCCTTCATCGCCGCTTCAGTTACAAAAGGAGAATAAATTGTGATAAATGAGTCAGGCTGAATGCTCTCAGAGCTGCTGACATGTTTTCGAGCTCCGCTGTGATTCAGAAAGCAAAGACTAATTAGAGCTTTTTACCATTTTTATCCGTCATTAACACATATTTGTTTTGCAGTCACCGCTTGATGATTTTTTTGTGCTTTTTAATAACGAGGCGTCAGATTCATCAGAGCGGGGAAAGCCTGAGGGAGGAGGGGAGCGCCAAAGTTTGACAGGCCGTCTCCTCGAACTGAAACTCCAGGCTTTGATCAAACATAAAAGAAACTCTGGCTAACAAAGAACGCCTTCACAGGGCGCCGCTTTGTGCACGCGTGATCCCTGCAGCCTCGGGCTTCGCTGCTGCAGAGCGATGATTCCTGCGCAGGGCGGTCACAGGGCGTTTTGAGGTTTCGCTGACATGTTCCAGCCGTCTCTGCCTCGGGCTGCTGTAAGTCAGTGTAGGTGGGTGGAAGCAGGCTCGGAGTGTTTTTTATTTTTACTCAGTGTTCAGGAC